AAGTTGAAGACAGGATTACCACTCCATCCCAAGCTCCTGAGCAAATAACAACTGTTATGAAATTTTCCACAGGATTGCCAGGTTTCATACTGTACATGCATATCCCCACTGATTTTCAACTGGCTGTTTTTTCTTTCTTACAGAAGCGCACACCTTCCCCAACAGTAAAACTCCCCTCTCCATCCCCGGTGCTAAGTGCGCAGACACAGAGCGGTTTGTGCTGCAGTATCGTGTGCTGCACTGCTGTCTCCCACTGACCGCAGCATCTGCTTATCCTGTCACATCTGGTTCTGCCTCACTGCGACAGGAGGGAAACATATTCCTCATGTCACTGCCCTCGGTCCCACTCAAACTGAAAGGAAGAAGAAAGTACCCACATCGGCTGCGGTTTTGAGTGATGCTTAAGACTACTACAAAAAGGCGGTGACTGGGCCGGAGGTGAGCTCATCATCCGAGAGCCTGTGGCTCTGCTGATGTCATCACACAACTCGGTGGCAGGAAGTGATACGGGAGCAGGAGCCCGAGAGGAAACTGAATCAAGCAACTGAGGTTAACTACTCTGGCGTTTTATCATGTGGCATTTCCAGGGACTTTCTAAGAACCTGAGGTTGGGTTTGGCTGCCCAGCGTCAGTTAGCCTGCTTCGCACGCCACGCTCAGCAGCGCTAACGGCAGTGGGATGAGGGAGCAGCTGTGCTGACCACATGGCAAAACAAGGCAACATCTGCCTCTCCTGGGTTGCTGGCCCCTTCCCCCTCCCACTCAAGAGAAAATATTTAATGAATAGCTTCCTACGATGCTCACTGAAGGTAGGACTCAGCTGCATGCAAGTTTTCCTGGCACCTCAGAAATGGCCCTGAACGGTATAGGCTGGACTTGGATTTGCACTTTCCCGGGGTTGTAGTGAGGCTGGGGCTCTGGGTGGCACATCTGTAAGTTCCTACGACAGTGCTAACGGTTATCTGGCATCTCACCTCAGAAAAGCTTAGATAACTTTGCAGCAGAAACTTGCCAGTGTCGTCATTCTCTGTGCTGCTGATGCACTAGCATCTCTGCTAGTGTGCCAGCCACTAACGGAGAGAGCACTGTCTTAGAGTACAAGCCAGGAAGGAGAGAGCAAGACTATCATGGAGGCATGCTGGAGTTAATCCAGAATACTGGGATGTCCCAAATGTCAAGGGATCTTCAACTCATGAATGTCTTGTCTTAAAAAAAAATGATAGACTATTTTCATTTTCTACATAACACAGCCAGACAATTTCACTGAGCCATACCTATAACAGTGACCAGAACCTCAGATACATGACCTCTTGGAAAGGCAAAGATATAGATTCTCTTCCCATCCCTCTTTTCTGCCTCCACTTCTGCTGAAGTGGTCACAACTGAATTAGATGGAAGGAATGTGCTACCCCTCCTGTTGTAACGTGCCTGGAAGGCTTCCAAATTCTCCTCTGTAGGATTTACCAGAATGATTACAGCTAGTGCTAGAGCTTTGGGGGTAGATGCATGGTTTGCCAGGAGCATGGCTGCACAGTTTTGTCTTGTGTAATTATGATTATCTAATTTCAAACCTTGTGTGGCTGGCGCTGAGTTCAAATTCAAGTCACTGCTTCCCTGAGGATTTCCTTCCTGAGACACTCCTTCTTGGACCACTAGTTGAGGCTACGAAGAAAAACACCAAAAACAAACAAAACCCCCCCACATAAAATTAGGTATCAAGAGACAAAATTGCAAATACACAAAGCAGATGGAAAGCAAAAAGCCTTTGATCAGTGTTATTTAAATAAGACTGTGCAGCCCTGAAAGCATGCCCATTTGCCACCACTTCCTATATCCAACCATAAGCAAGAGCAAGCACCAGTGCATGTAGTGTCCACACACATTCACAAGCGTCTCTGAACGGTTGACAGAATCCATAATAAGCCACCGTATTACTGGTCTTATGAGACACATGGCCCCACACTTTGAAGATATCTCCCCATTATGCAGCTGTGGAGAAATTTTTTCATCCTTGAGAACACTTTCTATATTTCAGGATATTTTCCTGTCCTGAACAACTAAACAGTTTGTCCATCGAAAATTAAAAACCAAATGGCTGTTCTTTTTCTTCTGCTTTGGTTTTGTCCCCCAAAAACTCCTCAGCTGTTAAAACAAATTAATTTTGAATTGAAACATCAGAATGCTTCACTAACCAAAGTTAGAATGACACATTTTGAAACATTAAAAAGATAAAAAGAAAAAGGAGGCAGTGTACAAAAAGTTTTAGCTTCAATAAGTTGGCATGTAGCAAAGATTTATTTTTTTTTTTTTTTTTTTTTTTAAAAATTTTACAAATTACTATGCAGCTCATTGTTTATAGTAACGAACACCCTAACTTACAGCTCTGGCACACAACTCAGTTAATTGAGCCACAAAACCCCAAGCCTAACCCTAGAAGTGCAGCTACTACAATCTGTTACAGAAGAGAATGGCTGGAAGAGTCTTTTCTGACCTTATTTGCAGCCTGTTATAGATGAGAGATGGCTATAAATTATTTCTAGCATGCTATAGGTGTTTATAGACTGGGCAAATCCCTGAGCACCCTGATCCAATTAGACCTGCTTTGAGCAGTGGTTTGAACTAAATAATCTCCAGTGGGCCCTTCCAACCTAAATTATTCTATGATTCTAAAAAAAGTTAAAAAAAAGTAGGTACACACACAGCTGAGGGATACCAGACATTCAATACCACTATTAGTAGATCCTGGAAGCTATCAGGATGCTCCAAACTGTTGTCTTGCTTCTTCTGTGTGGCATAAAGGTCTCAAGGGAGAATAAAGTGTCAACTGAATTTATAAGGAAGTGTTTTAATTAGACTGTCATTACAGAAAAATAAGAGTTTCCATGAATTTTTTTTTTTTTAATTGCACTTCTACCAACAAAAAAAAAAAAAAAAAAAAAAAAAAAAAAAGAAAACACAGGACAGGAAAACTATTCCAGCTAGCTTTATTTCAGATGTTAGCTTTTGACAGCACACATATGTGTGTCTGTGCCCCACAAGATGCTGGAGAGCGTGTTCTCAACACTGCCTGGCTGCCCCCATTTCCTTTTCCACTGCAGGAGCCTGTCCCCAGGGGGGAAAGGGGAGGGTGTCTCTCTCTGCAGCCGTGTCAGGCACACAGAATAGCTACAAAGCAGGGCTGAAGCCATCTCCTCTATGACTATTATCGTTAGTTTAACCACAAGACAGCCCTACCAGCAGGTGTTTTATAAACTGTCCCTTGCTCTGAAACGCTCTCTCAGACTCGTCCTGCATAGGATCATCAGCTTTACATAGTATGTACTTCACTTTTTTTGGCTTTCCTGAACCCTACAATAACAGAGTTTCACAGGCAAGGCTTCTCTGCCCTGGTTCAGACTGCATCACGGCAACAGCAGAAGCTGGGACTGAATCTGTTCCTCCCACTGAATTTCATTGCCTGTTCTTTCCCTTACCAGGCAGGAAGCAGAAACGCACTGTAGCACTTCTGAGGGTTAAACTTGCCTCTTTCAGATTAGATGAAGGATACATAAACTAGTGCCAGAAACTGCCCGCCAGCTCCTCTAGAGTCCTTTGGCCTCTGCATTTGCATTTACTCACTGTAGTTCATGGCTACACATAGAGGACACACCCGTTTGTACCATCATCCAAGACAAGGTAGTAGCTGAGGCTTCCTTCCCTCTCTCTTCTCAATCTCTGCCTCCCCTCATGCACATGGCCAGGTCAAATTGCACCTGCTGATGAGTATCCCTCTTACCCCATCTCAAATTCAGCAATATCCAGACTGCTTCAAAGCTACTTGCAAAGCCCTGCCGCCTTTCACTGCTCCCAGGGAAGGACTGTCACATCACTCAGATTGTCTGCTAGCCTTCATGCAATCATCTGGTTGCCAGGCCCTGACCCTACTTTCACCTGGTGATGTTGCTCTGTTCTCATCAGTGCTTCTTTTTAGCACAAATACTCCTCTCCCAGTTATTGCTTTCTAGCTGGGTTGCAACTTCAGAGTAACTTCTAACCATCAGCTTCTGAGCTCCCTGAAACTTCCATCTGTTTGCCTCCGGGGTCTGTCTGAAAGTCTGTTGCAAAGCAATTTGTAACTTACCAGAGTTCAAACACAGTCTCAACAACATCTGGAGTAAGCTGCCAGCACCCAGCATGAAGGAGTGAGAAACCCTCTCATCCAGGACAAATTCTCAGAGCAGGGCCCCATCCCTGGAAACATTCAAGGTCAGGTTGGACGGGGCTCTGAGCAACCTGATCTAGTTGAAGATGTCCCTGCCTGGGATTGGACTAGATGACCTTTAGAGGTCCCTTCCAACCCAAACTATTCTATGATTCTATAACCCTGCAATCACAATCCTTCAGGAAACACCTATACTATATCTCACTTTATTTTTATAAAGTTATCTTCGATTCATGTTACCCGGGGAGTCAGAGGTATGTTTTTCTGGCTGTACAGGTCCCTCCCTGTCCCCAGCCCTAGTTCAGGCTGATGCTGTGTCTCACACTTAGCTGCATTACCCTGGCATTTTCAGTCCAGCTCAGCAACGTTCAGCTCTGTTCTCTATCCGCAGATAACGATGCCTCCCTTCTCACAGTCCCTTTTGTCCTAGACGCTCCGCTTAAACAGGACTGTGCTCCTCATCTGGTCCAGGGAGCAATCTAGGTATCCCTGCTTATAGAGCCTTCGAGCAGGAAAATACCATCTTCCCCATAGAATCTGAGCTCCTTCTGACCCACTCTGCCCTTGAAAGGGAATCAAGGCCTAGGACTGGCTATGCCTCCTTATCCCTTTCTGATATCTCTCCAATGCATATGGCTCTAGTATATATATCTCTGAGCTATACATGTTCAAGTCATTGTTCTTGCTTGCTAGCTTGCATCTAATTCATAAAAGAGCATCTTCTCTCCTAATTTGCAGCTGCTTTGTATTTTTTCCCTCATCTCATTTCTTCCTCTCTTTAAAAACCAAAGACAACCTCAAAAAAAAAAAAAAGTTTTTTTTCTTTTTCTACTTCGTAGCCCTGAGACGTTTCTTTTTCGTCCAAATGCACTTAGGGCTTTTCACAACAACCTGGCCATGGCACCCTACCACTACTGAAAGGGAGAACACCGTCCTTTACTCATGTCCTTCTAGGTCCTGCTGCTTCTCTTTGAGATTTGTCAGCCCATGAATGACACCAGCAGAACTCACTGGGTAAGATGTTCTGGTCTCTAAGACACTGCCATTTCTGCCTCCAGTGCTTTTCCATAGAGCTTGAGGATCCCAATTTGCAGAGCTGGTTGCTTTAAGCACTGGTAACATACCAGATTTCCTTACACAGTGTATTTAAATAACATAATATAAATGGGCTTTTAGCAAAAGCTATGTGCTGAACTAGACTGTGACCTTCTCATCTGGATTTCAAAGAAGAAACAGCAATTGGACAGATTTATGGAGTAGATCTCTTGTCTGCAAAATTCAGTTCTGTACTGGGTTTGCAGACAGTTTCCCTCCACCACTATCCAAGAAGTATTTGTATGCCAAAGTCACTGTCATGTCAGAAAAGTCTTCTAATCTCTTCCATATCCTGGCACTTCCTCCCTGGAGAAGATTTCCTCCCAAGCCTCCTGCGTAGCCCTCACAGCCTGCTCTATCCCTCTGTTTCTGCTGACCCAGTGTCTCTTTCCATCCTAAGCACTCCTGTGGCACCACAGCTGTAGAACAAACCTATGGATTCCTCCAGCAAGTGCACAGCATGGGTTTGGTCTGGAATTTTTTGTGGTAACAGATACACACCAATTAATGGTTTGTGGTCGTTGTGGTTTTTTTTTAAAATCACTCCTAATGATAGATAACATGCTATTAATTGTTCACAGGACTGAATATCTTTATTGATTAAAAGCTTTCATCTTTTTTCCACACCTGAAATGTTCTATCTTCATCTACTGATTCTTACTAATCATTTGTTTGCTGCATAAAAGAGCCTCCTGCTGGCAGGATTCAAAGTTTCATCATTCACCAAATTTCTCTTTTTGCTTAATTTTAAGTTTCTTCTTTTGACACAAACTGTCACACTAAGCAATCACTTCAGTCTTTCAAGACTCCTGGGTAGACAACCTTTCTACCCGAGAAAGGATGGCATCTCTGGTCTGACATTCCAAGCCTGGGAAAGTACTGGGGAAGACTAATGTGTCTTGAATTAAGTACAGCAGCTCTCCTGGGGTCTCAGAATTCTTCAGGAGCTGAATCTTAGGGGTGACTGGAAAGGCAGTCAAGAGCTTCCCTAACGTGTTAGATTCCAGGTCACCTAGACTGAAAGAATGTCATTGCAGATAGAGAGCCTGAGAAGAGCAAACACAACTGAAAATCCCCCAGGATCTGTGACAGGAGGAGGGGAAAAGGACTAAACACTGTACTCACCCACTTGCGGGGCCTCCCTCTTGGCCTTTTCCCAGCAGAAGGTTCTACCTTTATTGAAAACAAAGGGAAAAAAATATTTTCAGCTCTCATATTTGCTGGGCACTGTGACTAATACACTGAACCTGGCCAAGGTGACCTCTGTATAAAGTTCTTGTGAGACAAGCAGCAGAAAAGGCAAAAGCTGGGGATAGAAGACAGTTGAGGAGGAAATGCCTGCCAGACTATGCTGGTTGTGATTATTTGGCAATGGTGGAGGAGAAACGCTAGAAGGAAGCTGCTGAACAGGCAGTGGCAGCACAGGAAGGCTGGGAGGTGAGTTAGGACTAAAACCACAATAACTCATTTGTCCAACGGTGGCAATTAAAGCTGAGCTGAATTAGGGGCAACTTTCACTGTCTATCTTTAAGCTAAGAGAAATCTCCCTGCTTGTCCTTCTAGCAATGCTTCAAGAAAGGACAGCCAGCTTCTCCCTCCCCCATAAAAGAATATAAGCCATTTATTCTTACCATTTGTCCAGATACAGTAGTCACTTTCTTGCTTCCTTTTGGCCTTCCTCGTGGTTTCTTCACTGGCAATGGTCCCAGAGCCTCCTCCTGGGGTAAAAGGAGAAAATCATTTAAGCGGGATGATCCCTGGAACAACTTACAGCTTCTCATTCTAATGTGTCTTAGACTGTCTT